TCCTACTGATAGTACCCTTTCTCCCAACACCTTTTAAAGGGTGGACACTTAGCTTTGGGTCTTGGTTCCCTACCTTAAGTGTTGAGAGACTATCTGCTGGTTTTTGTGAAGAACTGTAGCCAGTGTCTCTCCCCATCCCATGAACTGTTAAACACCTTCTATATTTAGAGATTTCCCTTCTGAATGAGTCAAAGGAAAATGTTTCCCACTTTTATTTGAGTATCTTAACATTTAAGTTTCCTTTTTGTTCTTGCAAGTTGCATCACGTGCTTTCCCTGTCTCTGATTTCCATCCTTAAAGCAGGCCTGTGCCTTTGTTCTGATCTTTCTGGGAACTAACATAGTTAAGGAATATTACCTCTGAAGTCACCAGAGCACATCTGTCTTCAGTTGAGTCGGTTTCCCTTGATTGGCTTCCTTCCCCTTAGGAACCAAACGGACATCACCAAAGTTTTGTCACTTTTCTCAAACCTCAGTTTTTTCATCTCATTGTACAAATCTAATCTATTGGGGGCTCTTAACCTGGCAGTCCATGGACTCCTAGGGAGCTCTTGGATGGACACAGTGTCAGCCTCTTGAAACTTTATACGAAACTGTATGTGCCACCCTGTGGTCCAAACTACTGGCCTAGAGTCCTCAGCTGACCTCAAAAGGTTTTGTGATCCAGAAAAAGCTATGATGAGTCACTGGAGTGGATGATCTTTAAAGATTCTTTTTAACTCAAAAAATCAGGCTGGGTGTGGTGGCTCATGCTTGCTATCCCAGGACTTTGGGAGGCTGAGGCAGGAGGACTGCTTGAGGCCAGTAGTTTGACACCAGCCCAGGCAACAGTGAGATCTCATCTCTACAAAAAGTTAGCCAGGCATGGTGGCAAGAGCCTGTAGTCCCAGCTACTCGGGAGGTTGAGGCAGGAGGATCACTTGAGCCCAGGGGTTCAAGGTTACAGTGAGCTATGACCGTGCCACTGTGCTCTATCCTGGATGACAGAGTGAGATTTTCTCTGCTAAATAAAAACAAACAAAAAAAGGAAAATCTATGAGACTCTCTCACAAATTATAGATACTCTTAAAAACCAAGGCTCAATGCCACTCAGCAAACTGCTTCTATCTTGGAGTAAGTATTTGATAATGCCAATGGTGGAGATTTTCAAAACGATCTTCCCCTTCACTTTCTTGATTGTCCTAAACCTTCTCGGCCAAGATTACATTCAACAAAATCCAAGAACTTGGTTGATAATTCTGAATTCTTGGGCATTTTGTATGTTTTTGCCAAATTAGTTAAGTTGCCCTTCAAAAAACAATAAAAGGAAAGACTTCCATTTTTTCAATTGTGAAAGTCTGCAGGTCTATAATAAACCCCAAAACTTAAAATTTTGCATGTATTCTTCTCATTTCAACTGAAATTCTCATAGGATTTTCACCTAATCATAGGATATCACAGCTAAAAAGAACTTTCATTCTCTTGTCTGAATCTTTTGTTTATGGACAGACAAGCTTCCAGGAAAGAGAGGTGACTCACTTAAAGACGCTCCACAGGCCAGTGTTAGAGCCAGAGCTAGAACCCTGACTTCCAATCCAGTGCTCTCCTCACCCCATTTTGATTTCCCTAAAGACCTCTGTACTTCATTTACCCCCTTCTGTTACCCCCTTCTCTTGCTCAAAGAAAACACACCTAAAAACATAAGCAACTGATCCAACCTGAACCCACTTTAGGAGTGAAAAGTTGAAGCATTTGATAGGAAGTGTTCACACCCCTGCAGAGCTGAGGGGTAGACAGGTCACTAAGGGGAAGGAAAGCAGCAACGCAGGACTGATTTGCAAGGGTCACCATGATCATGAGGAGGGTGACTCCACAGATTGTCAGGAGGTGCCAATAAACATCACAGGTGCCCGGGAGCACCCTCCATGCTCTGATCCCAGCCCCTTCTCCAGAACTCCCCCTTCTGTTTACCTACAAATACTGGACGCCTCCCCCAAACCAGGGACACACCGCTGTCCACACATACACTGCAAGTTCCTACCTCTGTGCCTTTGCTTGGGCTGCTTGCCTTGAATGCTGCCCTCCTGCTGGACACCTGTGGGGAAACTCCCTGTTCTTCAAGGCCCAGATCAAATGCTACTTTTCTCATGAAGTCCTTCCAGACAACCACCTTCCCTTTCCTGCTGCTTATAATTTCTCCCCATCTTGAACATCCAGAGTGAACTGTTTGCATTATAATTATTTGTGAACATGTCTTACTCCCTCAACGGAGATCATAAACTCCTCTGGCTGGGGTCAATCATTTTTTGTCTTTTCTTTCACTAAACAAATATTTACTGAGCACCTTCCACATACCAGGTCCCTGACCTCAGGGCACTAACACCATATGTGAACTCCGGCAAGAAGAGGGGCAAACGCAGGAGGGCTGAGAAGTGCTCTCGCAGGCCAGGTGCAGGGGCTGTGGCTACACAAAGTCAGAGCACTTAATCCAGCCTTGCAGGGCTGGGGGAGGCTGTCAAGACAGGCTCTGTAGAACAAGTGACATCTAAATGGAAGCCATGACGGTGTGCATCCCTCCCTGTCTCTTGCAGCACTTAGTGCCTGGGACATCCTGGATGCTTGAAAGAGTGAATGGTCAAAGGCCTTCAGAACGTCTTTTCACTTAAGGCCCTCAGGTAAAATTTCCCCTATTTATTGGCTAGATACACACCCTCGCCCCCCAGTACCTACGATAAAACTGAGCTTTTGGTTCAGTTCTTTGGGTCAGCAAGGAGAATAACGGCTGGCAATTTTCTTGACACAAACTGGTCTGGAATGCATTTGCCCAAATAAGTGACACTGCCTGAGATCATGCCATCCTGCCAGGGGCATCAGAGAACAGCTGTCATGTCAGTCTTTTCCATCTTTAGCTTGTCACCCAAAGCAGGCCCAAGAGGCAGAAGCCCCTTCTGAAGGACCCCCTTTCCGCAGTTGCCAGGAGGGAAGGTGAGGGCGGATGCTGTGTGTGCACAGCAGCCCTCTTCACACAGCCGCCAGCTCTCCACCGGAGCGCCCGGCTGCGGCCCGGCCACGCCCACAGAGGAGGGGCTTGTGCTTGAGAGCAGGAGGAGGGAGGGACAGGAAGTGGTACGCGTGGGGTCTGCAAGGACACCAAGAAAGGAAAACCAATTTTCAACAAGCCCGGTTTTCCGATCAACATAATCTCTGGTGTTGCCAGCTACCCAACTCTTATCCTGCGCCAGGAAGCAGGAAGCGTGTACCCCAACCTCATTCGGAGCTCCGGCACTGCACGCACTTCCTGTACCCAGGGGATCTTGGAATTGGGCTGCGATGATGACTCACCACTGACGATAAAGAGGTCTCCAGGCACCTTGGGTTGACTTAGAACGTTTATAGAATTGTTCCTGTGTCAGAGACATTTAGTTCTTTTCAACTGGCCACTTCACCACCTCTCCCAGCAAACCATTCTTTCCTTAACCTGTTCTGGAGCCAGGCCAGGCCTTTGTCAGGTATTGCTGCTTTCCTGCAGTTGCACACTAGGAGCTGGGGCAGCCACCAGCGGGAAGCCCCACCAGGGAGCCTTACACACGTACACCACACTTCTGCTCACTACCTCATGAATCCTTACAGCTGCCCCAGGCTGGCCTACCCTCAGTGATCCCCACTCCTGACACCCCAGCCCAGTGCCCATGTGTGCTAGGCTGGAACTGGAGGTCTGGCCCAGTGTGTCCCAGGCCTCTGCGCTCCTGTGGCCTCCAAGCACAATTATATTACTGTCCTGGTGGCATTACTGCGACTGCCAGCCTCACCGAACACAGGCTCCTCAAGAGCTGAGATTGACGACCCCTATACACTGTTAGGCCTTGAACTAACGTTCATAGACTGAATAAATAAAGTTTCAAAGGAAAACTGGAATTACCAGACTGAGGATTGAGCAGAGTTTACTGTGGGCATCGTATATAACACATAGTTAATAATTGGTTTGAAGACATCTTCAGGAATTCCATCTGGTTGTAAAGATGTTCTAGAACATTCTCAGTTCTAGAAGCAGTTCCAGATCACCCAAGACGGTGTGTCTATAACTTCCCTTTACTAAGTGCTGATCACATTCCCAGCCCTGTGCTCAGCACTTTACATATGTTATTTCAAAGATCTTCTCAACTACTCTGAGGTAGTCATGTCTCCATTTTACGGATAAGAAAGCTGAGTCTCAGAGAGGAGAAGTAACTCCCAAGTCACTAGATGGTAAAAGGTGGAGCTGGCGTTCAAACCCAGCTACTTTGGAAAAGTTACGCAAAGTCTTTGACTTCTGGGGTAGTAAATAGCATAGCCAAAATCAGAATCATGATTTGTCTAGTTGCCAAGTTCATTTCTCCTCAAAAGTTGTCAGCCTTCAAGACACCCTAAGGCCACCTTAGTTCAAACTCTGAAATCTTTGTGGCTGACCCAGAGAGAAGATGGGACGGTCACCCAAAACCTGGTGTGCCCACTCAATGATACCCCAGGCCTGTCAGGGCCCCTCCTCCCCAGAACCAAAATACCTTTGTTCACGGAGAACAAAGGGCTTGCGCTCCCACATAAACACAAGACAGGACGAAGACCTGACAGAACTGAGCACTAGCAGAGCGCCACAGGTTATGGAAACAAAGTGCAACTTACACGAAACCACACCACACCACACCACACCAATGCCTGGTGTTCTCAGCTGTGTTAGTCAGAGCAAACCAAGTGCGATTTCCAAGGCACAAATGGGACGTGAGGAAGGCTGCCTTTCATGGGCCTTGGCACCAGGCCAGGAGGTGCCCAAGGTGGGGAATAACTTCCGAATCACCTCAAAGGACCAGAATAAATCCTGTCCTTTTCTCTGGCTATCCCCAGCCCTGACAACTGATGCCCCCTCCACTCCCTCCTGGGCCAGCTCTTTGCTCCCAAGGCAAGCAAACGGTCCCCCGGCATCCGCTCAGCCTCGGCAGATGGGCCGGGGTGAGATGCCGGGGCACACATGGCATGCGGCAGGCCTACCTGGCTCCCACCTCTCTGAGCAGCTCTCCTCTCAGCCTGCTCGCCACCTCTATGCCGTTCTGGCTGCTCAGCCTCCCTTCCTGGAAAAGGGCCACCCAGGGGCTTGCCGGGCCGGCTCTCCTCAGGGGTGTGGAGATCTGAGAGTCTCTGTTCAGTACTCAGGCACCTGACCACGTCTGAAGGCTTCAAGCAGCTCTTCTTAGAGATCTTGGGTCCACCAGGGCATCTCTCACCTGCCTCCCTCTCTGCTTTCCTCTCATAGTGTCCGTTCTCTTCTTGCCACGGCTGCCTCTTGCTCTGGCTGCTAAAGGCATCGCTAAGCTCCGAGATGACACTATCAGAGCTCCCGAACAGTGGCTGGGAGAAGCTATCTTGGTGGACGCCTGAAGGTGGCATGTGGACACCACTGTCTCCATTGATGTGAAGGGATGCCTGGGCGCCAGGTACTGGGGAGTAGGCTTTGTGAGGGGCAGGTAGGGCCAGTGGGGAAACCACTGATCGTGGGGTGGGACGATCTGACCAACTGGACTGTGGGAGGCTGAGAGACAGGGAGGGGCCGGCCCTCGACGACCCGGCAAGGTGGTCAGTGCTATAGACAGAAGCCTCTGGCAGAGGAGGCAAGGGAGGGGTCAGGGCCAGAGAACGCCTGCTGGGGACCCCCACAGTCAGCGAGATCCACTCGGAGGTGACGGCGTGCATCTCAGGGGACAGGGCTCGGCGGGGATGGGGCAGAGATGAGGGGGCTGGCATGAGGAGCTTACTCTGACTAGGGAACTTAAAAAGAAGAGGAGAGAGAGGAAAACAAAAGAAAGAAGCAAAGGTACACGCGTCAGCATAAAGGATAAAGGAGGAAAATAATCACAAGGGTATATAAAAAGGAATGAAATGGAGAGGATGAGCAGGACACGCCGGTGTCCATGAAGGAAATCGTCTGGTTAGATCTGGGGAGAAGCCGGGGTGTGGGTGTGAATGAGAGTGAGCACGTGATGTGTGCAGGTGACGGGGGCGGTGGGGAGAGAGAGGCACAATGTATGGAGATGGAGAGACGCTCTCATCAGCATAGTCACAGGTGGCTCTGTAGGATCAGATTTTCAGAGGGACACACTGAGGGCTCCCCCCAGCCTCCTGTGCCATCAGAGGCCGGACTCAGAACCACGGGGGCAAAAGGTGGCCACCACTGCCCTGGCCCTCCCAGGGCTTCTATTCTCTCCAGGGAGCTTAGCAGAATCTTCCAGAGGGGAGTATGAGTAGTGTAGTCATCTTGTTTTATACTCACTCTTGGCTACATACAGTCAGGTGAAAAATCTACTGGAGCCCCCCATATTCTTACACAGCAGAGTGCCCTGCTCCAATCTCACTCTCTCCCCCCCATGAGACAACAGGACATGGATCTTGCCCTGTAGGAAACCCTGTGTCAGCCTATCTTATACCTTCTGCCAAGAACCCTCTGCAGGGGTTGGTGGTGGGCAGGGAGGAAAGGAGGAAATGATTCGAGGATGAGAGAAAGAGAGGCACCATCGCAGGGTCATTCTGGTCCCCAGGTCCTGCTCTCCTTCCCCTGGCCACGCTCCCCACAACTTACATGGCAGAATGGTCAGTCTCTTCAGCGGATGTCACCCTACCCCACCTCCCAGAACCTAAGATTCTGATTTTTTCTTGGCTTTGCGAAAAGTAGGGATGGGTTTGGAATAATTTATATTTTTAAACATGTTTGTTCATAATTAATGTTCAGGAAAGCCAACATCTTACTATGCCTATAACCCTACTTCCTTTCAGCGCCAGTATAGACTGAGATGCTGTAAGTTCCTTGTCCCAGTCACTTGGAATGAAATGTCCTTTGCATTCACCTAGTTTCAGTATATGCAAAGAATACTTTGGATCTGGTTTAAAAGTCGGAGGATGAGAATGTCAAAGTCTCTCTACTTTTGTCTTCTGCAGACCAACCTTGACCAACGAGACAACTAAGAGAATGACACTGTGCTATGGGATTTATGGCAGTGGGGTGGTACCCACACCACCAGCTTCACCCAGGATAGACCAACTGATGGAGGTTCTTGTTTCTCTTTCCTTAGTCACCTTATCCCCAGAGCAATCACTAATCTCTTCCCTTGAGATAGTATTTATCCCACTAAGTGCTGGAAAAATGCCATTTGTATGCGTGAAAACAAGCTCCAGTGTACAGTCTGCATTGCTGCAGACAGTTCTTAACCACAGTGCTCAAGAACCACCCCAGAAGACTGTGTGCCACCAGCACAGCTGAGTATGAAAACTCACGTGCTGAATACGAAAACCAGTGATGAGAAGCTTAGATACCTGTGGGCTCGCAGTGGCACTACGACTTGGAGAGGAGGAGTAAGGTAGGTCGATGTACTCCATGGGGTTTTTCACCAGTGGCCGTTTGATCACGTCCACGTAGGTGATGGGAAAGATGCCTTGTCGGGATGTCCCTGGGATCCTCCCTTCGTACCAGTTCTCGTCCACCTGTCGGAGCAGTGTGATCCTCTCGCCCTGTAAGACACAGCAAGGCAAGGATCCTTGTCTCATAACACCATAGCACTTCTGAGGCCCCCACCTGCACCCTGCGATGTCCTCCATTACTGATCACATCCTCTGTTCAGGAAAAACCTTCCCTGCTGGACCTGAATGGAATTAACACCACGGGGATGGGGATGCTAATGGCAGGAGAGCTACCTGGATGCTGGAAAGTTAAGCTTGGTCTTTAAATGTTTCAGTAAAGGAGATCAGATTCATGCCCCTAAACTGGAAGGCAAATGTAGTGTTATCTACTAATTTAATGCAAATTAAACAGATATCCAATCTTCATCTCTAAAGCAAAGGTTTTGAGGGTTATCTTTTTTTTTTTATAACTTTATTTTTTCATGCATTATTATAGAAAAATCAGAACACAAATAAACAAAGTGGATTATTACCCACCATACTGTCATGGGAATAATTACTATTATTATTTTGACATATGTACTCCCCAAATTTAATTCGAAGAATGTAAATTAGACCTGCACACATTTTTTATGAAAATTAAGTATGTATTAGGTTGGTGCAAAAGTAATTGCAGTTTCAGACCGTGAATTTTAAATTGTAACTAGACTCAAACACATCTTTATTAATCAAAATAGGAACCATTACAATCAACACATTTTTGCCAATGAGAAATAGGTTTGTTTACTCCTGTAGCATAAAAATCTGTGCTTCGGGATTTGATGAACACTTGGAAACCATTTTCTCCATCCTGCTGGCTGTGGAAGCATTTTCCCTGCAAAAAGTTGTTGAGATGCTTGAAGAAGTGGTAGTCAGTTGGTGAGGTCAGGTGAATATGGCAGATGAGGCAAAACTTCGAAACCCAATTCATTCAATTTTTGAAGCGTTGATTGGGTGACATGTGGTCGAACGTTGTCATGGAGAAGAATTGGGCCCTCTCTGTTGGCCAATGGCGACTGCAGGCGTTGAAGTTTTTGGTGCATCTCATTGATTTGCTGAGCACACTTCTCAGATGTAATGATTACCAAACGGTGACCATGACCTTTTTTGGGTGCAAGTTTGGCTTTGGGAAATGCTTTGGAGCTTCTTCTTGGTCTAAACACTGAGGCGATTGTGGTCTAAAACCCACTTTTTGTTGCACATCACAATCCGATGGAGAAATGGTTTGCTGTTGTCGCGTACAGTAAGAGAAGACAACACTTCAAAACAAGGATATTTTTGATTTTCGGTCAGCTCATGAGGCACCCACTTATTGAGCTCTTTCGCCTTTCCAAGTTACTTCAAATGCCAAATGATCGTACAATGGTCCACGTTGAGTTCTTTGACAATTTCTTGTGTAGTTGTAAGAGGATCAGTTCCAGTGATTGTTCTCAATTGGTTGTTGTCAACTTCCAATGGCCGGTCGCTGCGCTCTTCATCTTCAAGGCTCTCATCTCCTTTGCAAAACTTCTTGAACCACCACTACACTGTATGTTCTTTAGCAGTTCCTGGGCCAAAGGCGTTGTTGTGTTGATGTTGTGAGTTGTCTCTGCTGCTTTACGACACATTTTGAACTCGAATAAGAAATCACTCAAATTTGCTTTTTGTCTAACATCATTTCCATAGTCTAAAATAAATATAATAGCAAGTAATAAGTCATTAGCAAAACAACAAAGTGAGAAATGTGCATTAAAATGATATATAACAGGCCAGGCATGATGGCTCATGCCTGTAATCCCAGCACTCTGGGAGGCCGAGGCGGGTGGATTGTTTGAGCTCAGGAGTTCGAGACCAGCCTGAGCAAGAGTGAGACCCTGTCTCTACTAAAAAAAAAAAAAAAAACTAGAAAGAAATTATCTGGACAACTAAAAATATATAGAAAAAATTAGCTGGGCATGGTGGCTCATGCCTATAGTCCCAGCTACTCGGGAGGTTGAGGCAGTAGGATCGCTTGAGCCCAGGAGTTTGAGGTTGCTGTGAGCTAGGCTAACGCCACAGCACTCACTGTAGCCTGGGCAACAGAGTGAGACTCTGTCTAAAAAAAAGAAAAAAAAAAAAATGATGTGTAACATAACCACATTTAAGAATGTATTCCAATAACAAATGGCAAATTTCAACAATGCTAAAACCACAATTACTTTTGCACCAACCTAATGCTATTATTTCCTTTTCCAACTTGCTTTTTAAAAATATTTAACAACCTACAATGAAACTGCTTATCAAGAAATATAATCCTACATTATTAATGGTGCTGCACAGCTTCATGGACCACTGCAAGATACTCTACTGTACACACATATAATGATTTAATTACTGGTGCCCTGCTGTTGGGTACTTAGGTTGCTTCCAGGGTTTCTCTTTCATACTAGGTGGCTCATCTTTTTCCAAGGCATGTGTTTACTTCCCTCGACTCTCAATAAAATCAGTAACTTTAATAACTTTAGCAAGCCAGTGAATTTTGACATGTAGAGAGAGTGTCTGAATTCCTGGAAAGAACAGTTGCTTTGCACAGTGTAATTCTGTTCAAAATAAGCATACTGAGTCCTCAAAGGCAGTCACAATGATACTACTACTACTGGCATCTTCTGTTTACTGAGCACAAACCGGATGTCACGTGTCTTGCTGGGGGCTTCACATACGTTGTTTCACCTAAGCCTCTTGGAACCCACCCTAGGAGAGAGCTGTTTAAAAGTATTTAACTCCCATAGTCTTCAGAGCTGATGACCTGTGATTTCTGGGTTCAAAGCTTTTCAAACTTCTGGTATCAATGAACTTGTGTTTTCTACTAGGCCACATCAATATACTATAAACCCTAGTCACCAACACAGTGCTTATCACATCATTAAGTGTTCACTAAATGTTGGTTGAATATAGTTTAAAAAGATGTCTAAGACGCCAGAAATACTACCTTTAATCAGTGAACTCAATGTAGTTATGCCCTGACACTAGCCTAGGGTTTATTTTAAAGATACCTCACCTCAGAACATTCTCCAATTGCCCTTAATGCAATTCTTGATTGGTATATGTCTCTTAGGGGCACAGACAGCACCCCCAGACTGGCATGCCACAGCAACGCCACATTCCCCACAGTGTCCATCATCCAAGACAGCCCCAAGGCAAGGCAGGGAAGGGCAGCTTACCTTTCTGAAGGACATTTCTACTTGCGTATCACCATTAAAGTTAAACTTAGCAATAGCTTCTCCGTATTCCAAAACCTGCACTGGTGTCAGCTTTTTGGGCTGAGCCTTCTCGGCAGGAGGAAGAAGCTGAGAAAGGAAAAGAGGCAAAAGAGAAAGGGGAAAGAGAAAAAAGTGGGGGAACGAGAGGGAAAAAAACACAAGTACCTGGTAAATAAATGATGCTTGGGGCATGAATGGGCTTTTCCTTAGAAAGAAAAGGGGCTGCGGTACCTCGATGTAGGTGCGTGGGAAGATTCCCACCCGGCCGTGGTGTTCTCCTTCGTACCAGTTCTGATCAATTTGCTTATAAATGTAAACAATATCTCCCTTCTGCAGAGGAAGCTCCCTGTTGACAGAGGGTCACAGCATTTTAGCAGATGTTTTAGTATGCGTAAGGTGAAGACACTTCTGTTTTTTTAGCAAAGGAACCTTCAAGAGGGGCCAGGAGGGACAAATTCCAGAAGAGAGGGCTCCATATTTGGAAGTAAGAGCCCCACTATTCAGGAAATTACATCACATTTGGCATTTTTCTGGTCATCTGCGGGGTAAGTGTTAACATTTAAACTGACTAGCACTTGAAAGTGCTCAGAGGCCTTATTAGCTTGTTGTGGTTTTCCCAATGCATTTTTGGTGAATGCTGTCTTATGCTAGGAATATTCATGCAACACACAGGAACATGCCCAGCAGTCTTAACCGATGTTTGTTAGATGATGAAAAATGTCTCCTCTGGAAACATTCATTACCCTCTTCTATGCCTTAGCAAGGCATGCCTTCATTGCTTTAAAGTATCCTTGAATTACTGTGATATATTGAGATCCTTCTATCGTTCCCTCCATTGAACCATCTGTCCACTCACACATGTCACCGTCCACCTTTCTATCATGCAGTAAGTAAAAAGGCTCTGAAGTTAGGCCGATCTGGATTCAAAACCCAGCTCTATGATTTACCAGCTCTGGGACCTCGGGCAAATCTGAGACACTGTTTCTTTAGCTGAGCATAGGAGGTAACTCAGAATTGTTGGAGAATGCAGCAACAAACTGGAAATAAAACACCTAGCTTGGTGCCTGTTACATAGTTAACACCCAATAAATATTAATCCCCTTCCTTTTTAACATGGACATGGAAAAGGGACTTTGGAAAGAAAAGTAGGTTTTCCTTAAATGCTTTTCGTGGCTTTTTCAACTTTTCCATATCCATTCCTTTGCTTGCCTCAATAATGATGTTAACGTCTAACTAGGACTCCTTTAAAAAAAAAAAAAAAACAAAAAGACAAATTTCAAACGAAATGAAAACTTAAAAGGATAACAAAAGTTGAAACCTGAAATTTTATTGAATTAAAAATAAATGACCTAGATCTCTTTCATGTGTGTCAAACCAAGAGCATGGGAAGAAAGGTCTCTGATTGTAACTTGGAAGGAGTGTGCCCACTTTGCAGCGTGCCAGGAGTCCCACTGTACGTGACAGATGTCTCGCAACGGGGGCACATCTGGAAAACTTCACACAAAGTCAGGTCTGTGCTGAATAAAAGCACAAGGTGGCCTTTGTGGGGCTCAAACTGGTAGACAGGAGTCTAATCCTAAAGAGGCCTGTGAGGGGGATCTGGGCACTTATCTCTGTGAGAAGGAATGTCTCTGGCTAAACTGTTGCCATAGCCCTTCTTGGGGGTGTTCTTGATTTCCCCTCCCTTCACCTGCAACCACAGGCACACAGATGAACGAGACCCTCAGCTTATCCACCCCTGCTGGAGACCTGCAGGCTCGTAACTCTGCTAACCCAGCTGTCTCACAGCTGTGGAAGTGGGTGGGAGCTGTGAGGGTCCCAGTGTTAAGCAAAGGAGGACAACTCATGTGAGAGAGATGAGCGTGGAGGCGTCCGTAGTTGTGGCCAGTGGAGTGCCTGGGGCCGCCATCCTTCCAGTACTATGACCCCCCAGCTCCCAGAGAACCTTGTGACCAGGTCTGGTGGTGAGAAGGTCTGGGGAAACAATAACTTGATCTGCTTTAGATCTTATCTCGAGTGTCACTGTGTACATTAGCATGGCAGAAGCTCTGAGAGGTCCAGGAGGAAAGAAACCTGTTTGACTTTGTTGAACCAAGTGTTTCCACAGCACACTTTTTTGAGTAACTTACTATGGGGAAATGAAAAGCCAAGTGACTGAAGGGCTTAAAAGATTCTCTAAGGATCTGGCATTTACTCTTTTTTTTAATTGACTTTTTTGGAGGTAGCATGTTATGATGAAAACACTGAGTCAGGAGGAACTCTCTCTCGAGCATTAGTGATGTTGATAAACAGTCACAATTTCTGTGGATCTCAGCTTTCTCACCTTTTCTATTTGACAGGGTTGCACTAAAAAAAATTAAGACTTTTTAGTGAAATCTAGGAAAATATACTATTATCATCACTAGGCCATTCAGTGAATCTTACATGGACCATTCTCAATTCAAAGAAAAAAGGTTATCTATTTGATTAATTATCAAATTAATTTATATATCTCTGTTATCTTCTCTGGTTAAAAAGAACAAAGGAGGGAGGAGAATGTATTTTGAATACTGACTTTTGCTACACTGTGCAAAATGTTTTACAGGTATTACCCCAGCTTCCCTGTAAGAGAGGCATTTTTTTTTTAGCTGCTTATTCAATAAGTTTATTGTCTTTACATTGAAAATCCTCATAAAAAATTGCTGTTTGGTTTAGCTTTCAGCAGCCCGCTCCTGAGCTCTGAGGAAGCTTGCCTTCTTTTGAGCTACCCGATCTTTCTTCTGGGCAAGGGACATTTTGGGACGGTTCCATCTCTTCTTCTTAACTTCTTTCTTGGGCTTCTTCTCATACACTGGATTATCTCGTATAGCAGCATGGGCTTTCTTATACATCTCCTCCATGTCTGGAGTAACGTTGTTCTTTATGTATTGAGAGAACTGTTTCTTGTAAGCATCTTCATCTTCTTCCATTAGATAACGCATATAATCTGCAACATTCTGACCCATGATGTGCTTCCGGTGTACTTCAGCATTAAATTCCTTGCTTTCAGAATCATAACCAGGGAATCTTTTCGTACTGTGAGGAATAGACAAGCCTCCATCCACAGCTCCCTTCAGGGCCCCAAAAACTTTATTGCCAGTGGTAGTTCTGGCAAGGCCTGCATCCAAATAGCACGTAAAAGCACCAGGCTGGCCGTCGATGCTTTCCACATTGTATTCATCTCCTGTCACTTCCACTTGGCCTTCATAGATCTTGTCCATGCCAAACCTATTGAGAAGGCTGCGGGCCAGCAGCAGGCCAGTACAATATGTTGCAGCATAATTTGTCAGGCCAACCTTCATACCATATTTTGGTAGTTCGTGTGCGTAAGCTGCGCAGACTATCATATCCCCTTCTATATGGGCATAAGCAATCTGACAAATGATATCTCTGTTAGTTACACGAACTATCATTCTGTATTTGGGTGTGTTGTACTTATTTTTATCCTGTATCACCAAGCGTTTCTGAGCATAGTAATCAGTTTTACCCTCTCGTCGTCTTCTGAATTTCACTTGGTATCTCTTAAAGTAGGCCTTGTTCTTGACAACTTTGACAAACCCCATCCTGCCGAATAGAGACCCGCTTTTGCGGCTCCACACGGACTTGCAGGCCAAGAGAGGCATTTTTATCCCCACCTTACAGATAAGGAAAATTGAGGGTGGGAGAAGTTGATAACTTGACTACAGGCACAGAGACAGTTAGTGGCACAGTTGGGATTTGAACCCAGGACTTCCTGACTCAGAAACCCACAATCTTTACAGTATATTACACAGCCATCTCCTTTACCTGATGAGCAGAGGGACTGGAGTAATATAATAAAACCCAAGTGCAGATTTGTGCCTAAACTCTGCATACTGTGGCCTGGTCTCTCATCTTGTCCTGGAGATCAGAACCACAGTTGCTTAGCCTCCACACTGCCTTCCCCAGCACCTGAGGACGGGCAGTGCCCCCTCTCGTCACCAGACGTGGGGCCTTCAATCCACAGGACAATGGATGGCTGCTCACTGTATTTCAACTGCCAATAAAAACTGGTAGCCCATTTTAATCCGCAATTAGATATAAAACCAGCAGGTTCCTTTTGCAACCCAGTCTTTGGTTCCATTTCCCAAATTGTGTTCCAAGGAAATCTGGTCACCTAAATTTAGAAAACACTGAGCTCAATAAGCTAATCAGGTCTCTTCCTTGAAAGACTTCCAGAGCCATTAATATGCTAATAGCAAAGTATCTCTGCAAGGTGGGTGGGAGGTATAGATGCAGCATGCAGTGCTTCCTCAACTCACTTCTACCGTAGAACCCGCTTTTTGAGAAACACTACAGGGATAGCACTCTGGGGAACGCACTCGAAGAAATGCCACAAAAAGGGTTTCCACAAGGCATTCATCTCTTGGGATACTACAGCAAAACTAGCAAGGTTATCTTCCTAGAGACTGCTTTGGATTTTTGATAGAAAAGGTGGGTCAGATTGAGCCGAGTCAGCACTTAATCAAGCAAACTGAGCCCTGCGTAGAGGGAGGCAGGGTGGTGCAGTATATAAGAGCCCAACCTCCGGTGCCAGGCTGCCTAAGTTTGAATCCCAGCTCCATCACTTAACAGCTTGAGCAAGTTCCTTAACCTTCTAGTCCTTCGGTTTCTTTATTTGAACAGTGAGGATAATAAAGGTACCCTCTCTGTAGGGTTACCGTGAGAGCTGAGTGAGTTAACATGTGCAAAGTAATGTGAACACTGTTTCTTACATAGCAAACTCTATAAACTACTTTTTTAAAAATCATTGTTATTTCTCCAACTCTTCTCTACAAGCGAGCTGTTGTATTTCAAAGAGGCGGCAAAGGCGACAAATAAAGGTGACTGGGGGCACTTACTTTAGCGTCTGAGCTTTGAAGTCAAATTTGGCTCTGGCAGGTCTCATCTAAACACAAGAAACAATGACAAGTTAAAAATCAGGATTCGTGTACAACAAAACGGACATTTCATGTACATTTTCACAAGTTTCTGGAAAGCAAAGCAGAAAAATTCACCCTAATCAGTTCATTCTAGTATAGAAATCTGGGCAAAATTCCAGTCATCTGACCTTAGTAGAATACTAGATGGATGTGGAGTCGACAATGTCATGCATTGTTAGAACCCCCTAAGGAGAGACGGATTTGGGGAAGAGATGGTTAGAAAAAGTCCCAAAGCCAAAGTGCTGATTCCCCAAAACACGCTGACCATGGCTATCAAAAAAAGTCAGCCAGAAATCCTAAGATATTCCTTATCTACTCTCTTACTCTTCAGAGACATCTATTTGCCTGACTTAAACTATGACCTGCAAGTAAATGATTCACTTCTCACGTCATCTTCAATCCCATGTATTTGTTCTGGTCTCTGAGATCATCCAAAAAGCTAAAGTGATCCCTGAGATCAAATGACCCCGCTCCTGCTGGGAAGCCCTCTCCTTCCACACGCCCAGGTCTGGAAGGCAGCCTCAGCCCCTCTCCATGCCCTCATGAAGTGTGAGTCAGGCTGGCTCTGCCTCCGTCCCTCCCTCCACAACCCTGGTTGCTCAGGTCTGACCTCTAGTTCTCATAGGCACAAAGCTTCCTTTGACTTCACCCTAATCTGCTGTCACCCAGGAGCACAAATAACATTCCTCAAATTCTTCCTTGCTTTGAAGTTGGCTGGGGCTCTCCACTGTCCCTCAGATCAAATCTCAATTCCTGTCCTAGGTTAAGGCCTTTGGGTAATTCCTCCCCACTCTTACCTAATTGCTTTTCTCTCTATTACACTCTTCCTGTTCCAATCAGGGAAATCTACTTGCCACACCTCGGCTAGACCCCCTTCACCCTCTGGAATTTCTTTATCTCCAGTTTCAATAAGTTCACCTTCACTTATATTCATTTGCATATTTTTCTTCCCTACCTTTAAAGGCAGTTCTGTTAACCAATTTTTTTTTAATTTTTAAATTTCAGAATATTATGGGGGTACAAACATTTTGGTTACCCATATTGCCCTTGCACCACCCAAGCCAGAGCTACAAGGATGCCCATCTCCCAGAGAGTGCACCCTGCACCGGTTAGTTGTGAATCTGGATGATACAAGAGGTGCTAGTTCACCATTGTTTTTAAAGAAGGTAAGGGGAGAAATATCGTGAGCAGCTCCAACTTCAACAGCTGTGACCTTCTAGGCTAGGGAAACAAGGTGACGAAAATGAGATTACATGTGCCCTCTTTAATATTATGGGGCATGAACAAAGTGTAGGGAAAAAATGGAATATTCTAGAGGAGAAAACAATGATATTTAAAGGCTTCATGAAGCATAGTTTTATATTTTAATCCTTCAAAGATATGCCCCATATTTTTAGGCTCTTTAAGCCGAGGTCTTACAGAGATCTTTGTAGGGATCATGAATTCTCCATGGGAATTTTTTTTTTTTGAGACAGAGTCTCACTCTTTTGCCCGGGCTAGAGTGCCATGGCGTCAGCCTAGCTCACAGCAACCTCAAACTCCTGGGCTCAAG